GAGATAGGAATGGTTTAGCAGTATTCTATAACGTTTACTATCAATCTGAAGTCATTTTCTTCATCCATTTCCTTTGCATCACGGAGCATTCAAATTGTAATTTGTTACTTTATTAGGATATTGGACTAATTTACCCATTTTTCTATGCTAAGCCTTGATGATGATTTAGGACCTGTTTTTCCTCTGTTTTTGACTTTCAAGGCTTTCCATTCTTAACAGTGTCGAACCACCCCCAAATTTGGACCAACTATAGCTTGCAACCTCTTCTTCCATTTTGTTGCATCTCAAATTGTTATTAGCTGCTCCAAAACTGGCTTCACGCTTAGGTCTTCAGCTTACACTAACAAAGATGTGCAGTCTGCATGTTGGGGGGGTGAGTGGGGGGTCTTATGTTCCTTTAGACTTTGGAGTTGGTCTCAAGTACAAATATGAGCCCAATGCTGTACACATACAAAATGGAAATTTTCCGCTCAAACAACATAGTTAAAATTTTCTTTCAAGCGCTAAACATCAAATAACTGGTAGTTTATTTGCCACTAAGAGATTATGAATGACTATAAAAGCCCTTTTTAAAGAGCATTCTCGATAAAGGAGAAATGAATTGTACAGGAGTTTGTATTTTATCAGCATAACCTTGTAATGGTTTATATTTAATCTGTTACCAATGCATGAATGAAAAATGACTGAAGCATCATTGATATGAACTGCTCAAGAACTAATCCATACTGGTCATCTTTGGAGAGATTCAGTCATACGACAAATCATAAATTGTTATGCTTGTCCAAGGAGTAATACTTATTTAAAAATAGCAGGGTTCTGTCATCCAAGAGTTAGGTTAATTCTGAGAACTCCGAATCACCTTATTTTACTCCTTTTATCTTCTTTTCTTGGACATTGTTTTCGTTGGCTTAGGATCTGAGAGATAAAAGTGGGATGACAAACTAATATGGGCAATTATTGCTGCTGTCTTATTTTATTCTTTTTGGGGAGGTCGAAAAGGTTTTTACTTTATCACAGTCATATTGTTTGCTTGAGGATGTTTGCAAATATATAGGATGTAATCAGAGGTAGTCATATGATATATGAGGAACTAAAGCATGCAGAAAAATACACACTCTCAATCTGTGTGAAGTACATGTGCATCTATACTCAATGTTTTCTCTGTGTACTTGAGTAAAGTTATCTTTTGTTTTGCAGAATCTGTCTTTCTGCAGTTACCTATTACATTGTATATGATGTTATATCAAGGTTCAATAGTACCATAATAAAGTTATAGAACCTTTCAATAGGCAAAATAATGTTTCAAACTATCAAACATGTACTAAATTTTGAATGTGATATGTGCATTGGTGTCTTGGTGGACTGCAGCTTCGCTAATCTGGCCCCTTTTAGTAAGTTTTTGTGCTTAGCCATTGTGATTATCACTCAACTAGAGTTGCACATTGGATGCATATTGTCATCAAATACTTACTGCACGTACATGGCATATGTTTGGTTTCAAACTTAAGGCTTGGGGTTTTTATTTGGTTTTGTTTCAGCGAGAACAGCGTCGTCTTGAACGTGAAGCTTTAGCACATAGATCTCAATCATCCTGAAAGATCTCTGGGATCCTTTTGGATTAATGACTAATTTATTAAATGCATCACTTTGAGTGCTAATTTTTCTTCTTGGAAGTCAAGATGTACAATAAGAGGTGAGGTGAGAGGCCCTTGCCCATTGCTTGTTGTGTCTGAATTTCCATAGATTGGAAACTGTTACTGTGAGAAAGGGGAAATGCTATGTCAAAGTCTTTTTAAGACTTCATGGATGTATTAAAGTGATCAAAATTACAAGGTTGGGCTGTGCAGATGGTGTGTGATTCAATGGAGTGCCATCATCAAACATGACGCTTGAACTCTTAAATTGTAATTTTCTGGAATCAAATTAATAGTAGCTTTAGCCTTACTTATGTTTGGATATCCCCTTAGATAGGGATACTCTTATGGACAAATAAGAAATAACATGCCATTGTCCAGGAAGCTAAATTTTCAAATGCTATGCAAAAGTTCATCAAGATTTTGTAGTTGAATGACTTGGTCGATCATAAATTTATAATTCACATGGCTTCTTCTATTTCTAAATTTCTAAAAGATTGTATTGGTGGGTGTGTGGCGTTGCAAGTTTCTATATGGACTTATCTTTGCCTATCTTTCTCATATATAGGATCCAACAAGCGTTTCATCTTTGGATTGTTTGTTAAAATGGAAACCCCAATCTTCTTGATGTAAGAATGTCAGAATATTGATAGTCGTGAAGTAATTGGAAAGGAATCTCAAAAATCCAAATGAATGTACTATATAGTCAATGGCATCCTTGGATAAGTGATTGCTAATACTGAATTTAACCTGCATTGTTTGCGAAGCACAGTATATCAGAGACATTCAGCTTACTTATTGTCACCCCATTAAACAGTTATACTTCACTCAAATTATCTCTACCATACAATAAAAGTATAAATTTTACCAAAGATGTCTTTGAGAAAGGTACATAAATCGAAGCTCATTGATTGATAAAAAGAAATTAAAATATATTGATTTTAAATTAATGTAGTTAAATAACCAAGAAGTCAAGATCAATATGAAAAAAAAAAAAAGAGAGAGAGAGAATGGTATAGTAAACGGAAAGGATAAATTGTTATAAGCAGAAAGTACTAGGGATGATGAAAATGGTATAGTGGGGATGTGGACATGGTGGGGAGAGCACCTGGGAAAGGCGGTAAAATACATAAATTGTGCGTATTAATTATTAAACGATTAAATTACATTACAATCATGCTTGGCTCTTGTTTGTTTTCTAATTATACATGTCACTATCATCATGTGTTTAAAGTATGAAAAGGAAAAAAAATTATTATCTCCAAAGAAATTCACTGACTAAAATGTGAACTTCCTTGGAAAAAAAATGATACTAAAAGCTTTACCTGCTAGAGGAATGCGCATCCCATAAGGGGAAAGGGGGAAATGGGGGCTGCCCAAAAAATTGAATTAGCTGTAGAGTAACTTCGACATTATGCCAGGTAACTGTAGGAAGAAGGCTATCTGGCAATATAATTTGAGTTATGCTTCTACAACTTTGGGTCAGCCAGCCGTTGCTTCATGCAGGTATATACATGGCACCTTCCAGATTGGTCTTGGTTAACATACCCACTCAAACTGACATCCTTTGGTTCAAGCAACCCTGAGTTCATACTGCGGATGTGAAGCCAAATTAGTTTTTAACCATTTTATACAGCCTTTGAACTACATATACACTCAGGGTACGGATTTTCATAGAAGGATTCTTCAGTTCTATAACGTGCTTTGCCTTTGATTCCAGGCGAAGGACCTTTTCTTTTTCTTGGAGCTCCTTGTCTGCGACATAAATACAAACAAACTATGTCAAAATTCATTCAGAATTATGCCCTTCCATTGGACAATGAAATAAGATACTTCCAATTTTTAATATGCTATCCCTTAGCAATTAAGTACTACTTAATTTGGTACATTATAATGTACTTGTGTAAGGTCCTTAACAGAAATAGTGCACAAATGGGTTTAATTTATGAAGAACAGAGAGTTGGTAGTTGCAAGACAGCCACCTGTTCTTGTGTATCTGCCGTACAAGGTACGAGAATGAGGATGCTTCTCTGTGCTGTCCACCTTCTAACTCATCAAAAAGCCTGACAAGTCCTTTCCTGCAAAGCAATAACATCCTTGAGATAAGAGCACAAACTGCTTATAAGCATGATATTTTCTCAGGGAAAAAGGATAATGGAATAAAGTATTTATAGGGTATCACTCATTATGATACAAAGTATTTCCATGAAAGAAGTTAAAAAGCCATCATTAAAGTTCATATGACCTTGTATTAAGAGAAAACCAGCAAGACATGTTTCTTTTCCAAGAGAATATTTTTTATCGGACACCAGAACCAAAGTAGACAAACTACATCGACAGAGATTAATTCCTGTGGAAGACTCCACTGCTCACTCCTAGCATCTTTCTAAATTGAAGAGCCAGAAAAGAAAATTGGACCAATGAATTGCCTTAACTCACATTTTGGGATTCAACATAAAAGCAGAACATATAGAGGACCTAGGGTAACTCCAAATTAGATTGAAGTCAAAGATGCATAGTTCACATGCTTATTGAAATATGTGGGCAGCCTTTAAAAGAACAAAAAATAATAATATCTTTACTATTTTTTACCTGTCTGGGGTGATTGTCTTCCGATGACCTAAGAATCTGCGGTGCCCCTCAACAGCTCGTGCCATGTTACCTGAATAAGATGGAACAAACACGTCGCTTTCTATGGAAATAATGTAATCTAGTGCAGCACTTTGAGAGGCATGCTTAGCAAATGCTTTCAACTCTTTCTCTGTAGCCAGTTGTTCCTGTCATGAACAAAACCACCAATTCAGGAAGACAACTAATCCACCAAGTCATGAAGGAACCTCATTCTCATGGCAGATTTATGCAACACCAAACTATTATAAATATGAAACTAAGCTAAGATAAGACTCACCAACCTTGAAAACTAGATTTGGGAAATGAGACATAAGCTCTAAAAGGCGAGCATCACCACCATAAATTTCACCAGATGCAACATAAATTAATGTTGATGGAGGATAACCAACAGCTTGAAGAAATATTCCAACTTCCTTCGGAGTTAGCGGACAAAAGCCACCTAGTCTCTGTTCAGTCGAGTTTATCTCTTTAATCTTCCAATGCTTTGTGTTATCCCTGGAAAGATATTTTAAAAAATCTAGTGTAAGCTAGCACATAAACACCAAAAAGTTCACTTCTCTCATGTTAATACTTGGTCAAAAAGTCACATTCTTGCCCAATCTTCAATAATCTTTAACTAAAAATGCATATACATTCTGTTAGTAGACACATCAAGGGAAGGAGAAACTAGCTAACATTTTCTGAAACTTTGAAGAATTAAATACAAAAATGAAGTCAGCAAATTGAAATTATTAGAAGGTTAGTTTACTCCATGAGGTTTAATTGGTAAAATCTCTTTTCTATGTTTTGCAAATACTGGGGATTGATCATGTTTATCATATTGCCAGTAATTGATAAAACAATAACCAGAGCACATGAACAAGGAGAGGGTCAAGGCAGAGGTCTATATCCTCATTGAACTGGACTACTTTAATAGGCATAGGTAGGGAGTTCTTTTTGTTTGAAACTAGCCCATTTGAATAAATGGAGGAGAAAAGGATACTGCTATGCCTGTAAGTAAATGCAAGAGCACAAAGGGTAGGTTCTCACCTCATTATTCTCAGCTCTTCAGCTTCTGCATCAGTCAGACCATATGTACAACCAGTAAAAGCTAGCATGTCTTTCTCATATCTTAAGTGAAGTGCAATGTATCTTCCACTCCGCATTCTCAGCCGATCTACCAGCTTCTGTGGTGTCACCGTCACGCATACTCAGAACCTAATCTAAAGGGAAGCCCCATAGGAGACCTCCTAAATGTATCAATAATGAAATTAAACATGAATATGTGTTGGGCTCAATTGTATTCTAGCATTACACAATGAATTTGTTATAAAGTTTTAAATTCTTGCTGCATCCTACAAGTTTCACATGCCTTTTTGTTCATGTGCATGCATGTGTTTGGGCACTACAGCAACAGGGGCAGCAACACCAAAGAGGAGCAACTTACCTTTCCTAAGCTCTGAATGGGGGGAGAGAAGTGGAGTGCATGATATAAAGCACGGCATCTCAACCTCTGTAGGTCAAGAGGAAGATCGTTGTTTGCAAGTCGAGAATCTGATTTAACAACATGGATTACCTGCAAATGTTGCTCGATCAGCATCCTTGGATTCAAAACTAGGTTTTACTTTATTTTATAAGAGAAAGAGGCTAAAATTTGATGATCGGATCACATAGAGGCATCACATTTATTCAATCATCATCAATGGTATAAGAAGATTCTAGCAGCAGTCTAACATAGATATAATAAGGTACTGCCATTAGTGCAGGCCACCTGAACTTAGGGACTACTGAAGTCCATTTTAAGACAATTCATTTTGCAATGTTAGTCCCAACTCATGCGTTCTTGGTTCCCTTAGTACCTAAAGGATGTTATTCTGAATGAATATGCATCATGCAAATTTTAGAAAAGCGCATCCAGTTTAAGAATTTATTTATTATAATTTGGGCAACTAAACCTTATTATTAAACTACATATAAATGATTTCAGTATATAAAATGTTCTCCTTTCTTATTGGTATAAAAACTGCATTAAACAAAATAGAAATCATATTTTGACAAATGTTAATTAGGACAAATAGCAGGACATAATTATATGTAGATCAACCATGTCACAAATCTCAGTTGCAGGGTATCTAAAAGTAAGGCCTCAACTAAAACATAAAGTTCCAACAAGTATAGCAACAAACATGGTTTATATACCTGATGGTCCTCCCAAAGCTGCATCATTTCTTTGTAGTAACCCATGCTAGACCAGGAAGTAAAGTGCTTTCGGGCCCGAGGAACAAGCTCCAGTTCCTTGGGAAGCTCCCTGATAATCCTCACATCTCCTTGTAAAGTTTTGATGAAATGAAGCTCATCAAATATATCAGAAAACGTACTGTTCCATAAAATTCATGATAAGAGACCTTAAGTAATAACAGGACAGAAATGAAGACAAATAATATTACAAACTTGTTGGACTTAAGCTAGAAACAAATGAAAATACCTTGAGTCTTGCCAGAAGGACCGTTTATCCAGCTGTGGAATGACTAAGGTTGCGTTCATTATGTGTGCCACAGCCACCATGTCTGATATCTACAAGAAAACAGTTACTGAATTTTTGGTCAATGAAACAACAAGGCAAGAGTAAGGCAGCATGCATGAAACTTGAATGCAAAAACTCAAAAACAACTATGAATTGTAGAGCTAAAAAACAAACTTAATCAAGTACATATTCAAGTTATTCAATAGGTTAAACAACATGAAGAAATCCGTTTTCTACACATAAACTGTTGAAAGCTTTCCACAGCAACAAGTATAGACCTCCAACCCTTCTTAAAGCTGTAAAAACTGATATGCATTTTACTTAAAGAGTACAAACGATGCAATTCTTAACTCTAACTTAAAAGGTTTAAACCATTTCATATCAGCAATAACAATTGATTTACTCTGGGCAAAAAGCTCCACTGTCTTCAACTGAAATTGATAAAATCATTGTTTATAATAAGTCAGAGTTACTAATTAAATACCCTTGTGGATCATCGAGAGATGGCAAAAAAAGGGTCCACTTTGAATTTTTATTTAGAACTTGAAGTTAAAATTTTGTCATGTAGT